GCCCTCAGGCCAAAAAGTTTGCCCGCTCCTGTGCTATACAGTGACAGATAAGGGCCCCACGGAGATGGGTTTTTTGGTTCACACCATGGATCGCCATATCTTTTCATACTTCACACACAGAGCACAACTACTCTACTTTAATTCCAAGAGTGCCTGCTATAGCCTCAGAATGGGCAGGATTTGCCCAAGAGATACAAATCACCTCCATTGGATGTCAACGTTGAAATCTCCTCACTTCCATATTTATTTTACATTTTATTTACCTTTCAAAATTGCCCAACTTCTTGACCTTCCAGGAGGCTTCAGCCATCTCCCTACTCAAAACCCTGTGTAATGCTCCAAGCGTAAGTGGCAAATTGGAAATATTCTGGCTAAGTAACTAAAGGATTGATTAGTATACATTTAATGGCCTATCAACTGCAATAGCAGCTTTGAAACCCTGCTTATCATATTTACTCCTGGGGGAATTCTGCACCACTGTTAGGGTGACCAGACGTCCCGATATTTACTTGTTTGTCCCGCATTGGTCGGGACGCGAATTGTCCTGATATTTTGCTCTCAGGCGCACAGGCAGAAGGGGCTCATGCCCCCGCACCCCGACTCCGCCTCTTCCCTCCCCCATTGGATCCCTCCCCAAATTCCCGCCCTTGCCCCGCTCCCAGCCCTGCCCCCTCACTGCCCCATTGGATCCCTCCCCAAATCCCTGCCCTGGCCCCGCCTCTTCCCCAAGCATGCCGCATTCCTCCTCCTCCCTCCCACTGTCCCAGACTTGCGCTAATCAGCTGTATGGCAGCGCAAGTGCTGGAGGGAGGGGGAAGAAGCAGGAGGCGGAGCGGAGGCGAGCTGGTGGGGGTGGGGTGGCTCGTGGAGCTGCCGGTGGGTGCTCAGCCCCCACCAATTTTTTCTATGCTCCGGCGGCTCTGGGTTCTTTTGCTTTTGTTTGCTTTTTTTCCCTCCGCTGCTGGCTCTTGGTTTTTTTTTTTTTTTTTCTCCGCCGGCACCCCCCCCCACCCCCGCATCCTGATATTTCACGTCTCTCATCTGGTCACCTTAACCACTTTACATGTGCAGAACTCATGTATGGCGCAGAATTTTTTTTTACCACACAGAAAATACATTCTGCCCCAGAAGTACTGCAGTTCCGCCTTTTGCCCACCAGAGGCCACTGTGGAGCCAGAAGAGCCAGGAGAATGAACACAACTGGCTGTTCTGGCACCACAGCGGCCTCTGGTGGGAAAAAGATAGAACTGCAGCACTTCACAGGCAGAAAATATTTCTGTGGGGAAAAAAATTCAGAATTCCCCCAGGAGTAGAAGTTTATCACAGCATCCTGCCCACGGAACCGGTTAGGACAGAGAGTGGAACACATGAGGCTGCTGGGGCACAAGCTCAGAAGCTAGTGGGATGACAGCACTGAGGGGGTTGAATGGGAGTGGGGGTGCAAGACCACATGGGGATGGGGGAGGGGGGGGCTGCAGAGACCTGGGGGTGGGTGGGTGCAGGGACAGATGTGCCTGATTGAATGGGAAAGACTTTGGATCAGCCAGGGTCTGCATGGGGGAGGCTCCCCAACTCCCTAACAATCCCTCCCCTAAAAAAAACAACTTGTTCCATACTTCTCCCACCCACACCCAACAACCCTCCACATTCACTCCAGGCTCCTTCCCTCTCCCTCAGTTACTCCGTTACCCTTGACTCCCCCAAGACTTTGCACTGCTTCTGAAGGGTGTGGGAAATACGTTTCTGTATTATAGTTTAAATGAATTACTCAAAGTTCTGCTTCAATATGCCTAGTCAGGAATCTATTTGTCAAAAAACAAAAAAATAATAATACCAGAATCTTTTTTTTGTCTGTATTGTTACAGACATACTTGCTGACAGGTATTTTGAAGTAAATTACCAAAATAACTGAAACTGGCATGATTATATTATGTTATTTTGACAAATAAAATATACAGAATTTTTAATGTTTTGGTGCAGAATTCCCCAGGAGTAATATATTATTATTCCACAGCTAACTAAACTGTAGGAAACAAACCCATCTTTTGGTATGAGGGAGTGCAAGCAAGCTTCTTTCTCTCTTTTGAGAGTCACCAAGATTATAATTTAACTTTAAAAAAAAAAGCTTACCTATAATGGTGAATATCTTCAAATGATTTTGTATTATTTATGGCAAATACACATAGGAAGCCCTCCCCTGTTCTCATGTATTGGTCCCTCATTGCACTGTACTCTTCTTGACCTGCTGTATCAAGAATATCCAAGAGACAGGTTTCTCCATCAATTACTACTTGTTTCCTGTAGGAATCCTGAGAAGAGAGGAAAAAAAAAAAATCTTTAAATTAAACATGGCAGACTTTGACTTATAACTCCACTTAACAAATGACCTCAAAATTCTTTTCAAAATTAAGCAAGACTCCACATCCCTGAGTCAGGTATTAGCCACCCTTTTTTACAGATGGGCAAACGGAGGCACAGAGAAGATAAATTACATGATCAAGGTTATACAGCAAGCCAACAGCAAAGTGGAGAATAGACCCAGAAATGTAGATTTTCATTCCCCTGCTCCAGCTGCTAGACTCTGCGTCCATAATCTTAAACATATAAAATAGAATGTTTTCTGAAGAACATCAGATGCAAGTGGCAGTCCTCTTTTCTTTGCCCTATAGATAACTGTAATTTAGATACAGTCCCAGATCAGAAGTTCAGTGGTTGCATTTTCATCAATACCAGGGTTCCAGAAATATGCAACCCATGGTTTTTCTGGGTCTAATTTACCTTAAGTCTAGTCACTTCATGAACAATCAAATCAGGCGTTTCATCTTCACACCATGGATATTTTCAGGAAACATCCATGAACCATGTCCAACACTGACAACAGTACACAAACTAGCCAGATGTAAATAAACAGTTTACAAACACATTTGCAATTCCTAAATTTACACCAATGAAGGAGGAAGAATAGATTTAAGAATGAATGCAAGAGCCTAACATTTAGTGTTGGGGGCAATAAGTCTATTTTCTACCACTAAGCAGCCTGAAACATGAAAATTAGAATCACCAGTAATTTGAAGACATTTTGATACTAAACTCTGAAAAACAAACTATGGCTACACTAGGGAGCTTACAGCAGCGCAGATGCATCAGTATAGCTGAGCCACTGTAAACTCTCTAGTGTAGCTGCTCTAAGCCGACAGGAGAGAGCTCTCCCATTGACTTAATTACTTCAGCCACCGCAAGCAGCGGTAGCTATGTCGGTAGGAGCAGCTCTTCCACTGACGTGGCGCTCTCCACAACAGCACTTAAATTGGCATAAATTACGTCGCTCGGGGGATGGCTAATTCACACCCTTGAGTGACATAACTTGTGTTGACTTAAGCTGTAGTGTAGCCATAGCCTTAGGGTATGTCTACACCCAGCCGCTAGTTCGGCGGCTGGCAATCGAAGTTCTGGGTTCGACTTATCATGTCTTGTCTGGACGCGATAAGTCGAACCAGGAAGTGCTCGCCGTCGACTGCGGTACTCCAGCTAGACGAGAGGAGTACCGCGGAGTCGACGGGGGAGCCTGCCTGCCGCGTGTGGACCGAGGTAAGATCGAACTAAGGTACTTCAAACTTCAGCTACGTTATTCACGTAGCTGAAGTTGCGTACCTTAGTTCAATTTGGGGGGTGAGTGTAGACCAAGCCTTAGTGTCACTGCATAGTTTTACATTTCTGTAATACAAAGAAACAGTTACAAAATGTGACTCGGATATAAACTCTGACAATTACTATGACGCGTAAGAAAGAACTACTTCAGCATGGTTGACTCAAAGTTTCCAGAATCTGGACTTACAGTACCTGATGTCTGCACACAAGACTCAAGCAGAATTCAGGGATTGGAAAGTAACAGCTAAATGCTGGAATATACTAACAACTATTTGTTTTTGATGCTAGGTCTCATACAGTTTCATAGGATCATAGTAAAGTAGGGCTGGAAGGTACCTTGAGAGTTCATCAAGTCCAGACCCCTGTGCTAAGTCAGGACCAAGTAAACCTAGGCTATCCATTACAGGTGTTTGTCCAACTTGTTCTTAAAAACCTTCAGTGATGGGGGTTCCACAGCCTCCCTTGGAAACCTATTCCAGAATTTAACTACCCTTATAGCAGGGATACTATCCTTTGCTGTAGATTATGCCCATCACTTCTTGTCTTACCTTCAGTGGACATGAAGAACAGCTGAGCACCATCCTCTTTATAACAGACCTTAACATACCTGAAGATTATTATCAGGTCCTCCATCAGTTTTCTTTTGTCAAGGCTAAAGATGCTCAGGTTTTTTTAAACTCTTCCACAAAAGTCACGTTTTCTAAACATTTTACCATTTTTGTAGCTCTCCTCTAGACTCTCTCCAATTTATCCACATCTTTCCTAAAGTGTGGCGCCCAGAACTGGACACAGTACTCCAGCTGAGACCTCACCAGTGCTGAGTAGAGTGGGACAATTACCTCCTGTGTCTTGCATATGATACTCCTGTTAATATACCTCAGAATATTAGCCTTGTTCACACCTGCATCACATTGATTCATATTCAATTTGTTATTCACTATAATCCCTAGATTCTTGTCAGCAGTGCCATCACCTAGCTAGTTATTCCCATATTGTAGTTACATAATTGATTTTTCCTTCCTATGTGTAGTACTTTGCACTTGTTTTTCTTGAATTTCACTTTGTTGATTTCAGACCAATACTCTGATTTTGAATTTAATCCTATCTTCCAAAGTGTTTGCAACCGCTACCAGTTTGGTATCATATGCAAATTTTATAAGCATACTTCCCATTACATTATTCAAGTCATTAATGAAAATATTGACTAGTACTGGACCCAGGGCTCACCCAAATAGATACCCCCTTTCAGTTTGACAGAGAACCATTGATAACTACTCTGAATACTGTCTCAACCAATTGTGCTCCCATCTTGGAGTAACTTCATCTAGACCACATTTCTCTAGTTTGCATGTGAAACTGGCATGTGTGACTGTCAAAAGCCTTACAAAAAAAGAAAAAAATCAAGATATACCAGGTCTGTTTCCCCCCCATCCTCAGTCTAGGCCAATAACCCTGTGAAATTTGATTGGTTTGGCATGATTTGTTCTGACAAATCCATGCTGGCTATTCCTTATATCTCTATTATCCTGTAGGTGCTTACAAATTGAGCGTTTAATAATTTGCTCTAGTATCTTTCCAGTTATTCAAGTTAGGCTGACAGGTCTAGAATTCCCCATATCCTCTTTGGTCCCCCTTTAAAAGATAGGTGCCATGTTTGCCCTTCTCCGGTCCTCCTGGACCTCACCCACTTCCATGAGTTCTTGAAGATAATTGCTACGGGTTCTGAGATTGCTTCAGCTAGTTCCTGAAGTACCCTACCATGAATTCCAACAGACCCTGCTAACCTGAATACTTATGTAAATATAATTTAACATCTTCTTTCCCTATTTTGGCCTGTGTTCCTTCTCCCTTGTTGTTAATATTTATTGTCTTGAGTATCTGGTCACCATTAACCTTTTTAGTGAAGACTGAAGCAAAATAGGCATTAAACACCTCAGCCTTCTTGACATCATCAGTTATTAGCTCTCCTTCCCCACTAAGTAGAGGACTTACGCTTTCCTTTGTCTCTCTCTTAAATGTATATATAGAACCTCTTCTTCTTACCTTTTATGACATTTGCTAGGTGTCATTCATTTTGTTCTTAGCCTTTTTTATTTTGTCCCTGCATGCTTGTGCTATACTTTTGTACTCTCTTAGCAATTTATCCGTGTTTCCACTTTTTGCAGGATTTCTTTTTGATTTTCAGATCATTAAAGAGCTCCTAATGGAGCCATACTGGTTTCTTACTACTCTTCCTATTTTTCCATTGCAATGGGATAGTTTGCTGCTGTGCCTTTACTACGGTCTCCTTGAGAAACTGCCAGCTCTCCTGAACTTAGATTTCCTTCCCAGGGGACCTTACCTTCTGAGTTTATTAAAGGTTCAGTGATAGTATAAGTGAGCACATTACTTTTGTATACAAACTGCTATGTTTCTGTAAATACAGTATTATATGCATACAGCATTATCTAGCACTAGAGAATACTAAAACGGAGGCATGATATATCCATGGAAAGTGAAAACAATACTTTTCTCAGAAATCTAAATGTGTCATGGGTACAATGATTCAGGAAGAAATACCCGCATCACCTTTCAGATCCTTTTATTTTCCAGTTAAAAAAATATCACTCTGTTCTTGTTAATACTAACCAAAATTGAAAGCTTAAGCTATTGTGCTGTATTGAGCTCTTGTTGTGAATGAGGGGGAAAAAGTAACAGAGAGCCTCAGTTCTAGTTACAAGGGATACAGACAGCTTGAAATCTAGCCAACTTTTAACAAATAATTTAATTTCTAATAATTTAAATTAGTTTCAGGTATTACACCTGCTACTGGTGCCCCCTACCAACTTTTACAGTCTTACGTATGTTTTTCCATTTTAAAGTGTTTTTTTCCTCTTCCCTGTTGCTGTGTGAACAACCAACACAAACAAGAGGGAAATGACTGTTTGTATAAGGTAAGGTAAATATTCTACACAGTCACAAAGTGAACAAACTGGGGGAAAAAAAGTCTCATCTCTTACTTATCTTGATCCTAGAAGATATTTGTAACAATACCACATAAAATAATTCAAGCACAAATGTGACTAAGTTAACTGTGTGTCCCTTTAAGATAAAGTTCACCTCTCATCACTTTGGAAATATTTATTTTGCTTAAGTGCAACGTTAAGTGCCAAAGTAAGTAGTAGTACATGTACTTTAAAAAATACATAAATATTGTTTAAATATTGATAAAGTTGCAATAAACCTACAAGCCCCAGGAAATTTAAAGTTAAGGTTAACACTTTTTTCCTATTGTGGAATGTTAAAAAGACATCCAGAGTCCAATGTTCAGTTCCAATTAAACTGAAAGGCAGAGCTGCCATGTTTTGCCATTAGTTTCATCACCAAGCTAATGATAAAGCACCAGCCCCACCTTTGGCACTTTACTGATCATATCAAAAGAAAAAAAATCCTTAGTTCTTTCTGTATTCATTTGGACTTTTACTTGAGAAACCATGAGAAAACATCATTTGTGATGAGCAAATGTGCATGTGTCAGTCCTTCATATCTCCCTACCTTCTCCAAAGCAGGCAAAACTGCATAGCTGAGCTATACAAAAAGAAAAAAACACACTCTTATTTCAAAGGGCACGTCTACACTTACTTCCTGGTCCGGCCGTAAGCAATCGATCTTCTGGGATCAA